GCAGCAGCAGCAGCAGCAGCAGCAGCAGCAACAGCAGCAGCAGCAGCAGCAGCAGCAGCAGCAGCAGCAGCAGCAGCAGCAGCAGCAGCAGCAGCAGCAGCAGCAGCAGCAGCAGCAGCAGCAGCAGCAGCAGCAGCAGCAGCAGCAGCAGCAGCAGCAACGACATCTTCAGCGACAGCATCATTCGCCGCCGCCGCCGCCGCCACAGCAGCAGCAGCAGCAGCAGCAGCAACAGCAGCATCAGCATCAGCAGCATCAAGGCCAGAATCAGCATCAGCAACAACAACAAATGTCTCAAGCGCCCTCAATCTTCCCCTGCATGGAAAATTTGCTTTCCTATGAGATTCCAACCACCATTGGCATAACAGCCACTGGCGTGAACATCTATGACATAACCACCACTGGCGGAACCACTTATGGCATAACCACTGGCGGAACCACTTATGGGATAACCACCACTGCTGGTGTACCCGTGGTTGAACCTCATGCTCCAGAGCCTACTGCCAAGGCGCTGCCTTGTGACTGTCACACTGGAGTGTTGCAAAGAGGAGACAACAGTTCATGTGCCTATGTCGCCACATGCCCCACCTCTCATCAACTCTCTGGGAAAAGTGAGCCGGTTGAGAGCACCTGGGATTGTCAACCCATGCCCAATACTGGAGGCTCGCCAGCACTCATCGCTTGGTCAACCCCACCTATACAAGCTGCTTCCCCTGTAACCACCACCAACCCTGATTTGGATGCCTCGACTGCTTGTGGCAGGGATTCCTGGCCAATGAGTAGGGCATGGGCCGTGGAATCGAATGCACCATGCGACATGCAGAATGTGGCTAACGGGGAGAGTTACTGCCATCTGCTTTCTTCCCAGCAGCAGCATTTTCAGTTGGAGGGTTATCACGAACATCAGCTGGAGCCACAACAGCAGCAGCAGCGGCAGCAGTCCTACCAGCAACAGCACCTGGAGCATCAGCAGCAGCATCAGCAGCAGCAGCAGGCATACCAGAAACAACAAGTGGAGAAGCTGCATCAGCCCAAGCTGGAGCCGTATCAGCAGCAGCAGTTCTACCAGCAACAGCAACTGGAGCAGCAGCATCATCCGAAGTTGGAGCCGTATCAGCACCAGCAGCAGCAGCAGCAGCAGCAGGCATACCAGAAACAACAAGTGGAGAAGCTGCATCAGCCCAAGCTGGAGCCGTGTCAGCAGCAGCAGTCCTACCAGCAACAGCAACTGGAGCAGCAGCATCATCCGAAGTTGGAGCCGTATCAGCAGCAGCACCAGCAGCAGCAGCAGCAGCAGCAGCAGCAGCAGCAGCAGCAGCAGCAGCAGCGGCCAGCTGCGTACACTGCAGGTTATGCAGGCAGCGCCAATCCCTACAAAAGCAGCAGCACTCCCATACACAGTCTTCCCAAGCTAGCTGGCCTTCCCACAGGCCACACAACTCTGCATGGCCCGCATGCAAGTTCAGAGCCCCAGAGGATAATTCCCAGTTGTACGACACATGCACTCCCAAGTGCGGGGACGAGCATGGGCGCACTCTCTAGCTTCCAGAATGGCAGTATCCGAACCGACGCGTGTCAACGTTCAAGGGCTGACAGTAATGGTATGTCTATGGGAAGCATGAGCGGCTGCTCCATGGACTCGTGCATGCATGTGTCGGTTCCAGATGCGTGCTTGGACGACCTTCTTCTAATGCAGGATGACTCTGGGATTGAGAACGGTGTGGTTGGCATTCAAGGGAGTGATGGTCCGGAAGGGGTGTTTGGGCCGGCTGCTACACAGAACCGCAGCAGCGATGCTGACCACGGCGTGCTTGACTGCAGTCAGCAGATGCTGTGTGGAGGGCAGAGGGGTTGGGTGAACCCTGGTTGTCATGGCTCTCACTCACATCCGTAATCATAAGCTTCATCGTGGCTTATTGTGTTATCACCAGCTGGTTTTGTTCCAGCAAGCAATCTGTTATGGTAGTGGTAGTGCCTGTTATTAAGGCGCCTAAAGAATGGGCAACTATGCTAATGTGGCACATTTTAAAAAATTTCTGGAAAGGCTTCTTGAGCCAGGCCAGGTGTGGGCTTCAGTTTTGCGTACTTAATTTATTTATGTATTCATTCATTTCATATTTAGTATTTATAGTTTCTCAGCTTTGGGTTAACCCAAGAGGTAATTCCGCTCTCTTTCCCGCTTTGAACTCTTGATGGGTTATGCTCCCCTTTTTTCACACTTGGCTTCGGTTCGACACATACCATTTCATGGTTCTCAAAGGCCGGTCCCAATGGTGGATGTGATGTGGTGGTGGTGTTGCTTTTCTGACCTGGAACGGCCGCCTGTGCCTTCAGCTCCTCCTGGTATGTTCCTCGTTCTCACCGAGCCTGCTTCTAGAATGTTGCATATGCGACTTCTCAAAAGCAGGTCCTACACGGGCATGATGAGCATGGTGGGTGTGGTCGTGTTGCTCTTTTGGCCCGGTCCGGCCACCTGTGCCTTCATCTCCTTCATAAGAGATGACCCTGGTACACACTCCACTTGGACCCTTTGAGTCGACACAAAAGCCAATAGTCACCTTGAGTCGACTCAAAAGTTGAAAGTCACCTTGAGTCAACTCAGAAGTTTCCTTCATGAGAGATGACCCGAGTACACTCTTCACTTGGTTCTAGATGATATGAGCTTGCAACTTGTCACAAGCATGTGGTACTGTGTATGGGTGTGGGTGTGCTGTGGTGTTTCTCATAAACCAGGTATGGGTGTGGGTGTGCTGTGGTGTTTCTCATGAGCCAGGTATGGGTGTGGGTGTGCTGTGGTGTTTCTCATAAATCAGGTATGGGTATGGGTGTGCTGTGGTGTTTCTCATGAGCCAGGTATGGGTGTGGGTGTGCTGTGGTGTTTCTCATGAGCCAGGTATGGGTATCGGTGTGCTGTGGTGTTTCTCATGAGCCAGGTATGGATATGGGTGTGCTGTGGTCTTTCTCTTTTACCCAGGTTTGGGTATGGGTGTGCTGTGGTGTTTCTCTTGGACCCAGGTTTGGGTGTGGGTGTGCTGCAACTCCTTCAGGGGAGGCATCCCCTGAGGACACATGGCTTGGACATGGCGTGACATGGGTGTGGTGTGTGTGTGTTTCTTTTGGAGCCAGACGACTTGTGGGCTGCAACTCCTTCATGGGAGGCGTCCCCTGAGGACACATGGCTTGGACATGGTGTGCCACGGCAAGGTGAGATGTCTTTTTAGAGTCGTCACGTCATGTCACGACATGACAGTTTTTTCTACGGTGAGATGAGGTCATTCTTGTAGGTGTCAATGCATTTCAGTATGATTGCTTTCTTCTACCATCACCATACCATGCATGCCTCAACTCAAGTACTACAGGTAAGTACCAAGGTACACCTGTGCAGCCAACATGGCCCTACCAATCCACTCCGCTGCGCTGAGGCAACCAGAAACTCTCTAAATGGCCATAAACGCAAGCGCCACAATAGGCCACAGCAGAACTGCTCGTTATGGCAATAAAATATGCATATTACAAATGTAGAGTACATAAGGTATAACACGTACTCAATTGAAGCGTTCCAATACTGTGCGTGTGGCCAGCTAATGCGTGTACAGAAATATGCCAGCCAGCGGCCTGGGCTGCAGCAACTTGGTGGAAATATCCCCTCCCCACTACCGTAAATGCGCTTGGAATAACCAGTGAGAGATGCAAAAACGTATCTTCTGTTTGCACTCCAAGCAGACATGCCAACACAACACAACCCCCAGGCTTCACACAAGGAAGGGCATGCCAATTCTGGCACGATCTCAACCAACCAGCACGCACACAAACTTTCGAGGCACCTCGAAAGAACTCACTAGCTCCTACCTCCGTGTTCAAAGGGACAACCCCACGTACAGCCTATCGTTGTTGCACACGTATCCGTTGTTCAACTCCGCCAGCTTCACATGAAAGGCACTTCTGTCGGCGCGTGCACAGGCTCAGCCCCACGTAGAGCCTATCGTCGGTACACACATATCCATTGTTGAGCTCCACCATCTCGCGCTTTGTCCCCAACCACTACCCTGCCTGCTACCTCTGCGTGTGTTTTTTGAGAATTCTCAAAAAACAACCACTACCCTGTCTGCTACCTCCGCGTGCACAGGCTCAGCCCCACGTAGAGCCTATCATTCGTACACACATATCCGTTGTTCAACTCTGCCAGTTTCCTCGCACTGTTCTGGAACTTGAGCGATATGATGCGCGCACAGAAGTCCCCCCTCGTCACCGAGTAGAACGCCAGGCACCGCCGCTTGGACACCGCCAGCTGGCGGCCTCTCATTGGTTGGGCGGAGTGAGACGGGATGATGGGTGGGAGGCGAGGCAGGGAGGAAGGTGATGGGTGGGAGGAGGTGCTAAGGCCGAGCAGTCTTCCTCGTGTTGAGAAGGACAAGGGAGAGGATGAGGAAGAGGAAGAGGAGGAAGAGGAGGAAGAGGAGGAAAAGGAGGAGGACTGGGAGGAGAGAGATGGGGTGGAGGGGAGGAGCGGGGAAGTGGAGAAGTGCTCTTGGAGGGAGCGAGGGGTGAATGAGCCCCGGGCATCCACCAGGTATGCATCCACACACACCTGCGATGGGGATGGGGATGGATGGGTGAGATGGGTGAGTGGATTGAATGAGCCCCGGGCATCAACCAGGTATGCATCCACACACACCTGCGATGGGGATGGGTGGGGTGTGTTATATCGTGGGGCGAGATGTGGTGGAATGTGTGTTAGGAGCGATGTGAGAATGAGGGCAATGGATGTGGTGTGTTGTTGTGAGGTATGCATGCATACACGAGTGAGAGAGGGATGTATATATCCGAGAATTCTCACAAGTGCATTCGTGAGGCATGCATCCACACACAAGACAGACAGAGATTCATGTGTGCGGAGTGCAGGTGGAAAATGGGGAAAAGATGGGCGTGGAGGGTATTGTTCTGAAATAAGAGGCTACACGCCACGCCCACTCCAGCCGCACGCCACCGCATCCCACCACTCACCTGCACGCCATCCCCTCACCTGTCTCCCCGCAACCCACCTGCACACCACCCCCACTCCAGCCGAAGGTGCTGCCCCCAACAGACGCGAAGAGGCTGTCACAGCCCACGCCCGGGTTGAGGGAGAAGAAGGCGGTTTGGTTGAGAGAGAAATCCGCCATGATGCTTTGACATGTGTCCCCCGACTGCACCGTGTACCATCTAGTGCACATGGGCAGCTTTGGCACGTCCCCTCCCCCGCTGCCCTTCGCCACACACAGCTGCGTGGACAGAGGCAATAAGTGGGGGAGAAGGGAGGGGAGAAAGAAGGGGCGTGACGGGAGTGAGCCGCATGATGCTTTGAATGTGTCCCCTGCCTGCACCATGCACCTACTTCAGCGTCAGCCAGGTCGCCACACTTTTAAGCACCGGCACTGCACCAAACTGCACTAAACTGCAATGCACCTCATCTGCTAGTTCACAGTCGGAGCGTTCCAGGCGGTGCTACCTGTGCAATTGATTTCAGGGTTGAGCGTCACCAGGTCGTCCACTGTGAGCCAACACATGCCCACCATACCATCGAGCACCGCACCGCACTGCACCGAGCTGCACCACACCGCACCGCACTGCACTGTACTACACCGCATCTCACCTGCTGGTTCACGGTCGGAGCGTTCCAGGCGGTGCAATCAGTGCAGTTGATCCCCGGGTTGAGCGTCACCAGATCGTCGACTGTGAGCCAGAAATTGTCGGCCACGCTCTGGCACGTGTCAGTTGCCGTCCACGAGTAGTAGAGCACACAGTGCACCGCCCCCATGAGGGGCGGCGCCACAGTCACTGCCGTGTTGGCCGGGATGGTCTCGCAGTGATCCACGCCCTGTGGGTAGAATGGGGTGGAGTGGGGCGGGGTGGGTGTGGTGGGGTGTGGGTGGGTGGGTGGGTGGGAGGAGTGAGATCGGTGGGTTGAGGCGCCTCAAAAGCCATGCCCTGTGGTCAAAGGGAGCGGCTCGCCAGGTTCAGGTTATGGGCGACAAGGGCCTCCTCCCTGAGGCCGTAGAGCCGGTAGTCGAGCGGATGAAGGGGTGAAGCAAGAGGCTGGCAGCTCAAAGGGTGGATGAAAGGGTTGGGGCACATTGAAGGGGTCTAGGAGTGACAACAGAGGGCGAACGGGCAAGGCAAGACCTCACCAGCTGCAGGTTCTGAGCGAGAAACGCCTCCTCTGTGAGGCCGTAGAGCTGGTAGACGAGCGGACAGTCGATGTCTATTGGGAAGACGACGGTGTATGTGTAGGGGGGGGTGGCTGCAGGGACGTAAGGTTGGGAGGGGAAAAGACGGGGGGGGGGGGTGGAGATGGGGAGATGGGGAAAACGAGCAGGCAGTCAATGTGAATCAGGAAGGCGACGGAGCAGGCGGGTGGTGGGTGAGATGACTTTTGAGTCGACTTATCAGTCATCTGAGAGGGGGAAAACGAGCGGGCAGTTGATGTGAATCAGAAAGGCGATGGAGCAGGCAGGGGTGGTGGCTGTAGGAATGCCGGGGGGGCAGAAAGAAAAGAGAAAAGAAAAGAAAATAAAAGAAAAGGACTTTTTCAGTGGACTGAAAATGGGTGGTGGAGGTGTTTGGGAATGGAGAGAAGCAGGTGGAGCGGGGGAGGGAGAGAGGGGAAGAGGGCCACGAGGGCCGAAGTAGTGTGATTAGGTGAGTGAGAAGCAAGAAGCGGAGAGGCACGATGAGAGGAGAGGCGAGATGAAGAGGAGGAGAGGCGAGATGAAGAGGAGGAGAGGCGAGATGAAGAGGAGGAGAGGCGAGATGAAGAGGAGGAGAGGCGAGATGAAGAGGAGAGGCGAGATGAAGAGGAGGAGAGGCGAGATGAAGAGGAGGAGAGGCGAGATGAAGAGGAGGAGAGGCGAGATGAAGAGGAGGAGAGGCGAGATGAAGAGGAGGAGAGGCGAGATGAAGAGGAGGAGAGGCGAGATGAAGAGGAGGAGAGGGGAGATGAAGACGAGAGGCGAGAAGTAGAGGGGAGGAGAGGCGAGAAAGAGGAGGAGCGGCAATTGAGAATCGAGAAGAACACACGAGAGAGGAAGATGCAGTGAAGGTTCAGAAGTAAGCTATGCATGTACGGGATGGGATAGATATGATTTGCTGTGGCTCCTTGAAAAACATGAATCTAAAAAAAGACAAGAGAAGCCACCCACTTGAAAACATACTTGGACACATGTGAGAACATGGGTTCCAAAAGACAAGAGTAGCCGCCGGCTTGAACACCTACATGGGACGCATGTGTGAGCGCCATTGGGGCGGTAACCCTGGTCGAATCCCGGCGGACAGAGACAAAAGAAGCCGCCCGCATTGTCGTTGATGCACGTGCCGACCGCACATGGGTTTTCGTCCTGCTGGCTGCACACGTCGGCTGGCAGGGGGCGAGTGGGGGAGGTAGGGGGGGAAGGAGAGGGGAAGGAGAGGGGAAGGAAGAGGAGGTAGTGGGGGAGGCAGAGGGAGGGAGGGGGTGTTTCGATTGGCTGCACACGTCAGCTGGCAGGGGGCGAGTGGGCGGAGGGGCAAGGGGAGGGGAAGAGGTGCAGGGGAAGGGGAAGAGGGACATTGGGAGAGGAAGAGGGACAGAGATAAGGGAAGAGGGACATTGGGAGAGGAAGAAGGACAGAGATAAGGGAAGAGGGAGAATGGGAGGGGAAGAGGTGCAGGGGGAGGGGAAGAGTCGCAAGGAGAGTTTTTATTAGGTGGGGAGGAAAGAGGAGGGAGGGGTGGTGGGGGATGAGGGAGAGGGAGGGAGGGAGGGAGGGGGAGTTTTTATTACTTGTGCATTTAGCCAACAGGAATGGCAGGAGGGGACGGGAGGGAAGTGGGGTGAAGATGGTGGGACGGGAGGAAAGAAGATGGTGGGACGGGAGGAAAGAAGATGGTGGGACGGGAGGAAAGATGATGACGGCACAGCAAGTGGGGAAAAGTAGTGTGAGCTTCATTCATGTTTACAGGGCGTTTGTGAGGCACTCACCAAACACACACATTTGGGCAGCACTCACAAACACACACGTTTGGGCGGCACTCACAAACACACACGTTTGGGCGGCACTCACAAACACACACGTTTGGGCGGCACTCACAAACACACACGTTTGGGCGGCACTCACAAACACACACGTCTGGGCGGCACTCATTAACACACACGTCTGGGCGGCGCCCTTGTCGGCAACGGGAATGAAAATGGGACCCAGACACGTGCACGTGTAGTAGCCACCCCCTACCTGTCTCCCCTCCCCTGCCTCCGCAACAAGTCAATCTCCTTTGTGAGGCACTCACCATACGCACACGTCTGCGCGCCGCCCTTGTCGGCAACGGGAATGAAAATGGGATCCAGACACACGCATCCATAGTAGCTACCCATGCCCGCCTCGCACTGGCCTCCCCCACATGGGTTCTGCGGTGACTGGCATGGCAAGGGCGCTGGTGCGGGGGGAGGGCGCAGGGGGCAGAGGACTTGTGAGGCGCCTTCAAAGAGCGATATGCAGGCATGTGCATGCATAGTAGGGACCCTTGCCCGCCTCGCACTGTCCTCCCCCACATGGGTTCTGCGGTGACTGGCATGGCAAGGGCTGTGAGTGTGGTATGGGTAATGGGAGAGAGAGAGAGGGGGGACGGGGAGGGAGGAATGGGGAGAGAGGAGAGAGGAGGGAGCAGGGAGGAGGTCTGCAGCAAGCCAAGAGACAGAGAATAGCGGGACTGTCAATGCGCAACCACTGAAAAAAATCTTTGTGTGTCATTGCGCTTGGGGTGTGTGTGTGTGTGTGTGTGTGTGTGTGCGTGTGTGTGTGTGTGTGTGTGTGCTTGTGTGTGTGTGTTTGTGTATCTGTATCTGTGTCTGTGTGTGCATTTGTGTGTGTGTTTGCGAGTGTGTGTGTGTGTTTGTGTATGTGTATGTGTATGTGTGTGTGGGTGTGTGTGTGTGTGTGGGTGTATGTGGGTGTATGTGGGTGTGTGTGTGTGTGTGTGTGTGCATGTGGGTGTGTGTGGGTGTGTGGGTGTGTGTGCGTGTGTGTGTGTGTGTGTGTGTGGGTGTGTGTGGGTGTGTGTGCGTGTGTGTGTGCATGCGCGAGTGGGTGAGTGCAGTGCATAGTAGCGAAGATGTCCACTCACTCTGGATGATGGGGTAGAGGGCCGGCACTGAGTGAATGCCACAGATGCCAACGCCTCCCTCAAATGACATCTTCATGTATCCCTGCAGGCAGAGAGCGAGAATGCAGGCAGAGAATGAGAATGCAGGCAGAGAATGAGAATGCAGGCAGAGAATGAGAATGCAGGCAGAGAATGAGAATGCAGGCAGAGAATGAGAATGCAGGCAGAGAATGAGAATGCAGGCAGAGAATGAGAATGCAGGCAGAGAATGAGAATGCAGGCAGAGAATGAGAATGCAGGCAGAGAATGAGAATGCAGGCAGAGAATGAGAATGCAGGCAGAGAATGAGAATGCAGGCAGAGAATGAGAATGCAGGCAGAGAATGAGAATGCAGGCAGAGAATGAGAATGCAGGCAGAGAATGAGAATGCAGGCAGAGAATGAGAATGCAGGCAGAGAATGAGAATGCAGGCAGAGAATGAGAATGCAGGCAGAGAATGAGAATGCAGGCAGAGAATGAGAATGCAGGCAGAGAATGAGAATGCAGGCAGAGAATGAGAATGCAGGCAGAGAATGAGAATGCAGGCAGAGAATGAGAATGCAGGCAGAGAATGAGAATGCAGGCAGAGAATGAGAATGCAGGCAGAGAATGAGAATGCAGGCAGAGAATGAGAATGCAGGCAGAGAATGAGAATGCAGGCAGAGAATGAGAATGCAGGCAGAGAATGAGAATGCAGGCAGAGAATGAGAATGCAGGCAGAGAATGAGAATGCAGGCAGAGAGCAAGAACGCAGGCAGAGAGCGATCGTAGAATTCTATTGCAGGTAGCCCCCCAGGAGTTGCGGAGGATCCACTAGGGGCGCCCTGCGATGGCGTGATGCTGTCTGGCTGTACCCCATCACATCACCAGTGGGGCAGCAGCGTGTGACGCAAAGCATGCAGTTTATTCATCCCACCTGCATGCCCCAGCCAGCCCCCCAGGAGTTGCGGAGGATCCAGTAGGCGCCCTCCACCGCGGAGATGCTGTAGCCCATCACCACCACGCTGTGATCCACCACTCCTGCCGCTGCACACCCCTGGTCATAGTATAAGCCCTGGGGGGAGGAAAGGTGGAGAGGTTGGGAAGGCGAAGGATGAGAAGAGTGCCATGCGTGGTACCTCGTACACCACCCCATTTTTTAGTCGACTCAAATGTACCTCTCGCACCACCCCATCACCACCACACTGTGATCCTCCACCCCCTCCGCTTCACACCCTGGGTCGCTGTATATGCCCTGAGAGGTGAGCAGTGGGGGGGAAAGGAGAGGGTGACGGAAGTGCAATGAGTGGCATGGCACGTGAGGTGAGATAACACCACGATGAATAGGCGCCCTGCGAAGATGTGATGCTGTAGCCCATCCCCAGCATGCTGTAATTCACCACCCCCGCTGCTGCACACCCTGGGTCGTTGTATATGCCCTGGGGGGAGGAGAGGTGGAAAGGTTGGGAAGGGGAAGGATGAGGAGAGTGTTATTCATGTTACCTCTCACACTATCCCATCACCACCACACTGTGATCCTCCACCCCCGCTGCTGCGCACCCTGGGTCGCTGTATATGCCCTGTGGAAGGGGGTGAGGGATGTGGAAGAGAGGTGGAGGGGGAAGAGAAGGGGAGGGAAGCAGGTTTGGAGGGATAAGGGGAAGGATGAACAGACCCCATCACAATCACGCTGTGATCCACCGCTCCCGCTGCTGCACACCCTGCATCGCTGTATATGCCCTGAGGGGGAGTGGGAGATGGAAGGCGGGGTGGCAGGAAAGGGAAAGGTTGAGGGGGGTGACAGGTTGTTTCAAAGAAAATTACTCAACTTGACTTAACATACACCAAACAACTGTTTCTTGTCTGTACCTCTGTGGAGGCTTGTAATGTGGAATAAGAGCCTTTGAGTCAAGCTAAAAGTACACCAGCACTGTGTTTCCCGTGCCTCCTTGTGCAACTGGAAGGAGGGATAGGAGCCCTTACATCGACTTACATACACCAAGGCACTGTTGCCCTTACATCTGTGCATGTCTGGAAGGAGTAACATACACCAAGGCACTGTTGCCCTTACATCTGTGCATGTCTGGAAGGAGGTAACATAGACCAAGGCACTGTTGCCCTTACATCTGTGTATGTCTGGAAGGAGTAACATAGACCAAGGCACTGCTGCCCTTACATCTGTGTATGTCTGGAAGGAGGGGTAGGAGCCTCGCACGAATGCAATGGTGGGCTGAGCCTGCAGCAGAGAGGCGATGGGGCGGAGGGGAGTGGGCAAGGAAGGAAGGAGGGGAAAGGAGAGGGGAGGGGGAAGGGAGGGAAGGGAAAGAGAGGAGAAGGGAGGAGAGAAGGGGAGATGAGGAATGGGACATTGACAACGAGGAGCATGGCGTTTTCTCTGTGAACTCTTGAGTAACAAAGCCAATGGTAACCAGTTTCGGCACACAGACTCACGTAAACAGCGAGCATCAGGCCAAGCCAGCCGTAGTAGTCCACCTGGTCGTACCCCGTGATGCCTATGGCCGTCGCCTGCTGCTTCGCCTGGGGGGGGGGGGGGGGGGGGGGGGAGACAGGGCACAGGCACATGGGCACGGGCGCATGGGCAGGGGTGCAGGGTCATGGGTGCAGGGGCATGGGCGCAGGGGTATGGTTGCAGGGGCATGGGCGCAGGGGTATGGTTGCAGGGGCATGGGCGCAGGGGCACGGGCGCAGGGTTGCGCGCAGGGCATGGGCGCACAGGCGCGGGGGTATGAGCACAATGGTAGGGGTGCAAGGTGTTGACCGGAGTTGGCCGCGCCCTCGCTTGGGCGAAGCTGACTCTGCGGTAGGGGCGCTGATCGACGAGCCCGTCGAGGAGTGACTTTTGAGTCGACTCAAAAGTCTGTGGTAGGGGCGCTGGTCGACGAGCCCGTCGAGGAGTGCTGTTCAATGGAGCAGTGTCGAGCAGGTCGAGAGGTACAAGCACCTACGAAGTGGGTGTGTGTGTGCGCCATAGTTATCTACGGTTGCAACGCCAGTGGGCTGCCTTGCTGCAGCGTTGGCAGGTCATCGACTTGCAGAGTTGGCAAGCCACCTCCCAGCTGCGTTGGCAGACCGTCGACCTGCTCTGCTGGCAGGTCGCCCCGTTGCTGAGTTGGAGGTCGACCTGCCTGGTCGCTAGGCTGCTGGATCCAAGATGTAGTCATTTTGCCATTGCAGTTTTGATCATTTTGTATACTCGTTTTGTTAGTGAAACTCTTGCCAAGTTGTCCTGTGAACGCGCAAATAGTGAGAACACACGCAAAGTTGCTACAATCACTCGTACCACCCATGTCTTCACCCAGCTCCCACCGTTGTAAAGTGAATCTCCGTACAAGGTCAGGGCACAATCGCAGGGGCACCAAGGCATATGAGTCCTGTACATGGGCAAGTCACCGATCCTGAGTGCACCCTCTCCCAGGCGAAACTCCCCCATGCGTCCTCCCCCAGGCAAACCTCCACCAGGCAGACCACCCCCCGACAAACCTCCCCCAGGCAGACCACCCCCCGGCGAACCTCCCCCAGGCAGACCACCCCCCAGGCGTACCTTGTTGCGGTTGCATTTGCCGTCCTTCTGCGTGTACGCGTACCCAGCCTCGCAGGCGAGCCCCCCCCACGTCATTGTGGCGTCCACCATGAAGTCCAGCGCTGCCGTCGGCCATCCGCCCGCCGCACAGCTGCTGCTCATGCTGTTCCTGCATTCCAGCACCTGCGGGATTTGGGGGCCGGGAAACGACAGAGGGGAGGGGGGTGAGTGAAGCGCGGAAGGGGTGCGGTGCGGCCGGAGCTGCTGGTGCGAGTTGGCGGGGCAGAAGCCAAGGGGACTGGGATGGGGCGGAAGTAGAGCACAGAGCTGCCGCAATGAGAGCACCTCCCCCCTCCTCCCCACCCTTCCCCCCCTTCCCCCACTGCATTGTGTAACTGCGCAATTTAAAGCCCGTGCTTGGGTAGCAGCTTAGGGCATGTCGCCTCGAAATCCGAACAAGCCTCTTATTCGAACGGACGAAATGTTATAAGCTTCGCCACCTCTCGTAGGGGCTTTCATGACGTCGCAAGTTAAAAGTTTCGCCCAACCGAACAGAGCTGTCACATCTGGCAATTTGCTTGTCACATTGTGTGTTCGAACAGCACTGTTCACCACCCCAGACGACACATGTGATTGGTCATCACCCCAGACGACACATGTAATTGGTCATCACCCCAGATGACACATGTGATTGGTCACCACCCCGCTCACTCCCGCACGAATGTGTTTCTAGTCTGTGACTGTTGCAGTGCATCGGATAGTGTTCGCAGTGGCTGACGAACCCTCAAGCGACGATTACGACGCCTCGTCGCGTCGCTTGATTCTAGGCGACGTCGCCTGTTCGAACAAGGTGTCACCTGAAGTGCACAGTTGTCACATTCACCACGCTGTTCGAATCTGTGTTCGGAGCTAGATGGGATTCTGTCCGTACAGTGAAATAGATGTGCATGTTTGGATTTGGGCTTCCCAGCCCCTAGGTGACACGCCGTTAGATTCCACACCTGCTGTACTGATAGGCGCTGGGGGGGATCCATGGAGGGCGTTGAGGAAGCCACTAACGCGTATGCCATTTCCACCGCGCTCACTGCTGTGATTGCCCATGATGCCTCTGGGGGGTGAACGAGGGGGGGGTGGGAGAGGAAGGGGCGGAGGAGAGGGGGAGGAAGGGGCGGAGGGGAGGGGGGAGGAAGGGGCGGAGGTGAGGGGGAGGTGGACGAGAAGAGGGAAAGTGGAGAAGGGCTGAGAAATGCTTTTTCTGTGGGATAAATAAGGTCGAGTATGAATGAAGGGTGAGTAACACCAGAGCACTAGTACCACCACCGTGGCCGGGAAATAATCCTCGCTGGGCTCCCCTCTCCCCCCCGAATCCCACCAACTCGGCGCCGGCCCTCCCCCTCTCCTTTTCCCCGGGTCTCCCCGCCAGCACATGCGCATCCGCCCACGTGATGGCGTTGCGCTCTGCGTGTGCTCGCTGGCGCGAGCCAGCGCGTGCCATCGCGAGCCAGCGCGTGCCAGAGTGTAACACCTCGCTACCCACTGGGTCAAAACGAGGGTTGTATTTGAGGCGCAGCGGATGCTCTCATACCCTTACGTGTAAGCCCCACAGGCGTTACACAGAGCGAGTCAGTGCGTGTCCATTCCCCGCCATCTCGCGCGCATGCCACGTGCATTTGCCTTTCGATAAACTCTCGAAAACCATCAAGCCGCCGCGCGGCACACTCACTGCATTTGCCTTCGGAGCGCAGCGCGAGAACGGTGCATCTCGCACTTGTTTCACAGGCATTTCCCTCGCAGACATTCTTAAAAAAAAAAACACATGCATGAACGGGCACCGTGGCGCCACACTTACTGCATTTGCCTTCGGAGCGCAGCGCAAGAACGGGCTCGAGGCGCGGGTCCTCCACCCAGTTGCGACCGTTGGTAAGGATTTCCGTTATGACATTCCCCGTCGACGCGTCGAAGAGGGTGCTGATCAGCCGGAAGAACCGGTTCGCGTACTTGGGAGTCACCGAGGCCACCGCGGGATTCGCGCTGCATCGGTAGCTCGGGGCTGATCCCTTTCGAGGGGGTGATCCCTTTCGAGGGGCTATTCAGATGATATTGTCAAGGGACCGGGACAGACGGGGGAGAGACGAGAAAGGGGGAGGGGGAAGGGAGAGTGAGTAGGGGAGGGGAGGGGAAAGGGAGAGTACGGAAGGGAGGGGGAAGTCTAGTTTTGAGGCGCCTCAAAACAAGAGTAACGGAAGGGAGGGGGAAGTCTAGTTTTGAGGCGCCTCAAAACAAGAGTAACGGAAGGGAGGGGGAAGGACGTTCCCCGTCGACGCGTCGAAGAGGCTGCTGATCAGCCGAAAGAACCGGTTCGCGTACTTGGGAGCCACCGAGGCCACCGCGGGATTCGCGCTGCATGGATAGCGCTAGACATGTAGAAAGGGACTGCTTTCGAGGGGCTGCTTGATGTAAAAAGGGACCGCCGGAGCAGAGGGGGAAAGACGAGGAACGAGGGAGCGGGAAGGGAGAGGGATTAGGGAAGGGGAGGGGGAAGGGCAGGGAGAGTAACGGAAGGGAGGGAGGAGGAACAAGGGACAAAGGAGAGAGAGAGAGAGAGAGAGAGAGAGAGAGAGAGAGAGAGAGAGAGAGAGAGAGAGAGAGAGAGAGAGAGAGAGAGAGAGAGAGAGAGAGAGAGAGAGAGAGAGAGAGAGAGAGAGAGAGAGAGAGAGAGAGAGAGAGAGAGAGAGAGAGAGAGAGAGAGAGAGAGAGAGAGAGAGAGAGAGAGAGAGAGAGAGAGAGAGAGAGAGAGAGAGAGAGAGAGAGAGAGAGAGAGAGAGAGAGAGAGAGAGAGAGAGAGAGAGAGAGAGAGAGAGAGAGAGAGAGAGAGAGAGAGAGAGAGAGAGAGAGAGAGAGAGAGAGAGAGAGGAGAGAGAGAGAGAGAGAGAGAGAGAGAGAGAGAGAGAGAGAGAGAGAGAGGAGAGAGAGAGAGAGAGAGAGAGAGAGAGAGAGAGAGAGAGAGAGAGAGAGAGAGAGAGAGAGACGGGATTTGATTTCTATTTTAATAGCCTAGATGCCGAGAGTGGCGCCAATGGCACTTGTGAGTTGACAAAGAGTCGCCTCGGACGGGAAGGAGAGGGAGGGATGGACTTGGAGGTAGCTGCTTTGATGATAAACACGAATAATCGGATGGAAAGGGCGACTGGACTTTTTTATCAACTCAAATTCCGCATCGAAAGGACGGAGGACGGGGGGGAAAGTGGAAGGGAGGGAGGGGCCGGGGAGACTGTTGCTTAGCATGCGCGAGTCGCGTTCGGGCAAGGGGAAAATCGGAAGGCAAGGAGGGTTGAAGGGACGGGCCCCGGTGCATGACTGACCTGCGACAGCGACGCCGCCACTCGCGAGCAGCGCGGCGAGAAGCACGATCACCGCGTAGCACGCCTGTCGGGACGCGAAGAAGTCTCTACTTCTGGATGTTGAACGGCGACGCCGCTCAGAAGAGAGAAGTCTCCCTCCGCGCGCGGCGGCGCGTGGTAAGGTTGGATTCGATAGAGAATCGCATGGCTGCTGAGCCGCCGCCCCGTGCGCGTAACAAACGTCACCGAGGATGCGCATGGCGGCGGCTGTGCGCACAGAAAAGGGGCTTTGGTTTGGCCTGTCTAGTCTCGATGCACGCTGCTCTAATCTCGAGGCGCGCTGCTCTTATCTCGAGGCAAGCTGCTCCAATCTCGAGGCACGCTGCTCCAATCTCGAGGCACGCTGCTCCAATCTCGAGGCACGCTGCTATAACCTCAAGGCACGCTGCTCTAATTTCGAGGCGCGGTGCTCTCGATGATCCGAGCAGCAACGGTCAAAAAGCCCCTTATGGGACGTCACGGTGACAGTCGACGCCGCGGACCCCTCGGCGGAGGTGACTTTTAGACCGACTCAGAAAGTCGGATAGTCTTCGACCAACCAGACGAGGCAATATATGCGGCGCCGAAGAAAATTAGAGCTGGGTATTTCGAGACGCCTAGAAATACAGTATTAGATCGCCTGGACGGACTATCACGACGCGCTCAGAGTTTGAAATGCAATCCCCTGCTTTACTAGTAGTATGACGTGTTCGTTATCATGAACCTGAGCTCGTCATGAACACAGTCGTTAGGCAGCTCCTGGTAAAACTTTCGAAGTAAGTGCAGGAGAAGGGCGGGTGGCGAATGGGGAAGGGAAGAGATGAAGCTGCTTGCTTACTCGTGGCTCTCTCGTGTACGTTCTTCCGAACTGGTCATTCGCGAAAATTGAAATGGAGCAGCTTTTTTGTCAACTTGTGCACATCCCCCCCCCCCCCACCCCCCCCCCCCCCCCTACCCCCCCCCACCCCCCCCCCCCCCCCCCTCCCTCTCCCTCAGTCCTCCTGTCATGCACATCCCCCTCGTCGTCCTCCTCAAAGCCCTAGGTTGTATCTCCAGCAAGGGCTAGTGTCATAACACCAACTCGGAAAACACATGGAGGACTATCCCTCCTGGTGTCAGCTAAACCAACCAATGTGATCGCGGGAAATCGTCCAATGTGCCCAACATTGACACCAGGCTGGAGCCGCGCTCACACGCGGCTCCACTTGGTGTCAACCGTTAACAGCGCTTGACACCAAGCCCTTCTTGACACTTGCTGGAGATACGACCTCATTCAGAAGCTTTTTGAAAAGGCGGCAAGGCAACCGACTGAGGCTTTGCCTGCGACTCGGTTCTGCTCGGCAAGACGCCAGGATGGAGCGCAAGTAGCGGCAGACAAACCTTTGTCATGGAAAAAAATATTCATGTAACAAGATTACATTTGGAGTTAGCAAAATTGTTCAAAATTTATGAAAAAACATGTGAAAGAGACAAGAGGACAGCTTTATATGCGTGGCGCTGAATGTCGAGTGTCTATTGGCTGTTCCGACAGTTCAGGCTCTGGTGCCTGCGCAGGTTGCTGCAGGTGTTTCCGTGAGAACTGGAAACGTAGATATCTGTGGGCTGGACGAAACTTGGTCACGAAACCAGATATTGCCGAAACAAATAGGTGTTACAGTCTTGTGAGTGTTTCGTAAGGAAACGAACTATGGTATTCAGTTTAGATTTCGCAATGCATACCTTACATTCGACCAAGGGAAAGCTTACTGAGGTAAAGTACAATCCAGCAATGGAGAGCCTACAAAGTTAAGGTACACAACCTTCCAAAGTACAACTTTTTTAGGCGCCTTGAAAGCTCGTACGTCTATCTTCGAGTGCAAAGCGAGAGCCCCACATATAGCCTATCATTGGTGCACACATATCCATTGTTCAAGTCGGCCAGCGTCTTCGCACTGTTCTGGAACTTGAGCGATATGATGCGCGCACAAAAGTCCCCCCGCGTCACTGAGTAAAACGCCAGGCACCGCTTCTTTGACACCGCCAGATGGCGTCCTCTCATTGGTTGAGCGGAGGGAGAGGGGATGAGCAGTCTTCCTCGTGTTGAGAGAGACGAGGGAGAGGAGGAAGAGGAGGAGAAAGAAGAGGAAGAAGAGGAGGATTGGAAGGAGAGGGATGGGGTGGAGGGAACGAGTGGGGAAGTGGAGAAGAGCTCACGGAGGGAGCGAGGGGTGGGTGAGCCCGAGGTTTCTACCAGGTATGCATCCACACACACCTGCGATGGCATATGGGGATGGGTGGGTGGGCGCGGAGCACGAGCATGGGGTTTACACCAGGTAAGCATCTATACACACCTGCGATGGCGCATAGGGATGGGTGGGTGGGCATGGAGGGTGAGATGGGTGAGTGCGCTTCATTGAGGGAGAGGAGAATGGGTTGAGCGGACTGGGGGTAACCACCAGGTTGCATGCCTACACATCTGCGATGGCCCAAGGGGATGGGTGGGCGGGCGTGGAGGGTGGGGGGAGAGACTGGGTCGACGAGCCTGGGGATCGAGGTGTGTGTGGATGCCTACTTAGTGGATACCTCGGTGCTTAACCTCACGATCTCTCCACTGGGAATGTATGCACACACACCTGCAACGGCCCATGGGGATGGGTGGGTGGGCGTGGAGGGTGTTTCCTTTTTGCTTCCTTTGGTGTAGCCAGCAAGTTTAAGGATGGATGGGTGCGTTTTAGTGGATGGGCCCGAGGTTTTCACCAAGTATGCATCTGCACGCGCCAAGTGTGTTTTGAGTCGACTCAAAACACACCTGGTTTAGTGGGGGGAGAGATTGGGTGGATGGGCTTGAGGTATCCACCAGGTATGCATCCCACACGCGCCAGATCTTCCTTCACTACCGCATCCCACCCCTCACCAGCACGCCATCCCCTCATCTGCATCCCACCCCTCACCAGGACGCCATCCCCTCACCTGCATCCCACCCCTCACCTACTCCCCACCGCTCACCTGCACACCACCTCCACTCCAGTCGAGGCTGCTGCTCCCAACAGACGCGAAGAGGCTGTCGCAGCCGACACCCGGGTTGAGGGAGAAGAAGGCAGGGAAAACCACACCCCTTCCCATCCCATCATCACCGCATCCAACCCCTCACCTGCACTCCACCCCCAGCCCGGCCAAGGCTGCTGCCCCCAAGGGACGCAAAAAGGCTGTCGCAGCCCAGTGCTGAGTTGAGCTGGAAAAAGGCATCAAAACATCACATTACTATCTCCACTTTCTCCTCCCCACCCCTCACCTGCTGGTTTTTGAGAATTCTAAAAAACTAGCTCGTATCAAGAAGAAGGCGTAAAAACATCACATTATTATCTCCATTTTCTCCTCCCCACCCCTCACCTGCTGCCATTCCCTCACCTGCACACCACCCCCACTCCAGCCGAGGCTGCTGCCCCCAACAGACGCGAAGAGGCTGTCGCAGCCCACGCCCGGGTTGAGTGAGAAGAAGGTGGTTTGGTTGAGAGCGAAATCCTTCATGATGCTCTCGCATGTGTCCCGCGAGTGTACTGTGTACCATGCCGTGCACATGGGCAGCGTGGGCACGTCCCCTCCCCCGCTGCCCTTCGCCACACACAGCTGTGAGGAGAGAGGTGGGAAGAGAGAAGACGAGGGAGCGGAATAAGAAGGGGTTTGACGAGGCATGTTGCCCTTGCGTGTGTCGCTGGCACGAACTGTGTACCATGCCGTGCATGTGGACAGCCTGAGCAGGAATGCCGCCCATTGCCATGAGTTAAAAGTGCTGTTTTGAGGCGTCTCAAAACAACATTTGTATGCCATGCACGTGGGCTGCCTAGGCAGGTGTGAACCCCGGTGTGAGTGAGGTGCACGGTTAACCCTAGGTTGAACCCCACTGGCAGATCTAATGCCTGCCCAAACGCATGCACCACACCATAGAGCACCGCACTGCACCGCATCTCACCTGCTGATTCACAGTCGGAGCGTTCCAGGCAGTTGATCCCAAGTTTAGCGTCAGAAAGCCCCTTACTGCAATCCAGAAACTGTCAGCCACACCATCAAGCACCGCTCTGCACCGCACTGCACCACATCTCACCTGCTGGTTCACAGTCAGAGTGTTCCAAGCGGTGTAATCCGTGCAGTTGATTCCGGGGTTGAGTGTCAGAAAGTCGTCAACTGTCAGCCAGAACAAGTCCGCCAAACCACCGAGCACCGCAGTACACTGCAATGCACCACATCTCACCTGCTGGTTCACGCTCAAAGCGTTCCAGGCGGTGCAATCCGTGCAATTGATTCCGGGGTTGAGCGTCAGAAAGTCGTCCACTGTGAGCCAGAAACTGTCCGCCACGCTCTCACACGTGTCATTTTCCGTCCACGAGTAGTAGAGCGCATAATACACTGCCCCCTTGAGGGTGGTGCCATGCTCACTCCCGTGTTGGCAAGGATGGTTTCGTACTGGTCCATGCCCTGTGGGTTGAGTGGGGTGGGGTGGGTTGGGGTTTGGTGTGAGTTACGCCAGTGACCAGTCCACGAGTAGTAGAGCGCACAGTACACTGCCCCCTTGAGGGGTGGCGCCACGCTCACTGCCGTGTTGGCCGGGATGGACTTGCAGTGATCCATTCCTTGTGATTCAAAAGGTGAAGGCATGGGGTTGGGAGAGGTGTGGTGAAGTGGGGTGCGGTGGGTGAGGGTATCTGTCACTCACTCATCAAGTCCTCATTTATACTCAGCGGGTGGGGGTGTGAGTCGAATCACAACACACGTGCAAGTCCTCTTCCATGCTCAGTGGGGGAGACGCAGGGCGGAGCTGGCGAGTAGGTGGGACAGTGCGAGAACGCAGGAGGAAAGGAGAGATCACAGTTGCAACGTTCTCCCAGCCTCCCACATCAGCCTCCCAGATCAGCCTCCCAGCTGTGAAGGTACTCTCAGCATCTAGCTCACCAGGTTGGGGTTCTGAGCGAGAAACGCCTCCTCTGTGAGGCCGTAGAGCTGGTAGACGAGCGGACAGCTGATGTCTATTGGGAAGATGACGGTGTATGAGGGGTTGTAGGCTGCAGGGAGGGGGGTGGAGGGGGGGAGAGATGGGAGAGGCTAGAGATGGGGAACGGGGTCGGCGAGCGGACAACTGATGTCTGTTGGGAAGACGACGCTGTAGCTTGGAGTGGTGGCTGCAGAGATTCAGGGAGGCAAGGAAGAAAATTTTACAAGAACAAAGAAAACAAGAAGATAAATAATAATAACAACCGGGAAGAAAAAAAGGGGGAGCAGGAGAGGTGAGAAAGAGGAGGAGGGGCGAGAAAGAGGAGACGCGATTGAGACGTGAGAAGAACTCAAAGGGATGAAGACGCAGTGATGTTTCAGAGTAAGCTGTGCATACATGGTATGGGATGGATGTGATTTGCGGTGCATATATGGGATGGGATAGATGTGATTAACTGTGGTTCTAAAAGAAGCATGAATCGCAAAAGGACAAGAGGAGCCATCCACTTGAACACATATAAGGACACATGTGAGAACATGGGTAAGAAAAGACAAGATTAGCCGCCCGCTTGAACACTCACTTGGGACGCATGTGTGAGCACCGTTCGGGCGGTACCCCTGGTCGAATCCCGGTGGACAGAGACAAAAGAAGCCGCCCGCCTTGTCGTTGATGCACGTGCCGACTGCACACGGGTTTTCGTCCTGCTGGCTGCACACGTTGACTGGCAAGGGCAAGTGGAGGGGGGGGGGGGGGGGGGGGGGGGGGGTGGGGGGGCAGGGGGAAAAACAGAGGCGCAAGGGGAGTTGGAGACTGTCGTTCCTTGGCTGCACATGCCAGCTGGCAGAGAGCGAGTGGGACGAGGGGCAAGGGGAGGGGAAGAGGTACAAGGGGGGAGTGGGGGGAGGGAAGGAGAAGAGGGGCTAGGGGAGGGGAAAAGGTGCAGGGGAAGGGGAAGAGGCGCAAGGGGAGCTCTTATTAGGCGGGGCGGGAAGAGGAGGGAGGGGCGGTGGGGGGTGCAGGAGAGGTCAGTGTAAGGTCATGGGGTATGATGGGAAGGGGGGGAAGATAATGATGCATGGCATATGGTGAAAAAGTAGTGTGAGCTTCATATTCCCAAAGCACATACGCGTGGGCGCCACTCATTAAACACACGCGTGGGCGCCACTCACCAAACACACACGTCTGGGCGCCGCCCTTGTCGGCAACGGGAATGAAGAGCGGGTCCAGGCACGAGCACGTGTAGAATCTATCCATCACCTCCTCGCACGTGCCCCCCCCCACATGGGTTCTGCGGTGACTAGCATGGCTTGGGCGCTGGTGTGGTGGGGGGGAGAAGGAGAGGGAGGGGAGGTCTTGTGAGGCGCGTCAAAAGAGAGAATGCAGGCACGAGCACGAGCACGAGTAGAACTTCTCACTTGCGATCCATCACTACCCCACATGTATACACTGCATTGAGGTGATTTTCGAGGCGCCTCAAACATCACGTGTAGAACTTCCTTACTTGTGCGCCATCACTGTCCCACATGTGCGCCATCAGTGCCCCACATGTGCGCCATCACTGCCCCACATGTGCGCCATCAGTGCCCCACATGTGCGCCATCAGTGCCCCACATGTGCGCCATCAGTGCCCCACATGTGCGCCATCAGTGCCCCACATGTGCGCCATCAGTGCCCCACATGTGCGCCATCAGTGCCCCCACATGTGCGCCATCAGAGCCCCACATGTGCGCCATCAGTGCCCCACATGTGCGCCATCAGTGCCCCACATGTGCCCCATCAGTGCCCCATATGTGCGCATGCATGCATAGAAGCAGACAGACGAGGGGGTCAACAAACTCTTAATGATGGGGTAGAGGGCCGGCACTGAGTGAATGCCACAAATGCCAACGCCTCCCTCAAAGGCCATTTCCATGTAACCCTGCATACAGAGAGTGATAGTGCACGCGGATAGCGTTTTTTATTTATCTTTTATTATTAATATTATTTCTCTTGCAGGTCATTTTAACTAAATGATAAAAAACGACTTGCAAAGAAACAACAAAGCCACGCATACCCTACCTGCATGCCCCACGTGCCCCCCCAGGAGTTGCGGAGGATCCAGTAGGCGCCTTCCGATGACGTTAAGCTGTACCCCATCACCACCACACTGTGATCCACCACCCCCGCCGCTGCACACCCTGCGTCGCTGCATATGCCCTGGGGAAGAGGGTGGAAGGGAAGCGTGCACGGGGGAAGGGGAAGGGGAGAGGTGGAGGGAGAGAGGAAAGAAAAAGAGGTGGAGGGAGAGAGGGAAGAGGAAGAGGTGGAGGGAGAGAGGAAAGAGGGAGAGGTGGAGGGAGAGAGGAAAGAGGGAGAGGTGGAGGGAGAGAGGGGGGAAAGAGAGGTGGAGGGAGAAAGGGGGGAGGGAGAGGTGGAGGAAGAGAGGAGGGAAGGAGTGTTGGAGGGAAAAAGGAAAGGATGAGCACAATTTAGTACAAGCTTTGACTGCTCAACACATTATCTGAAACAACGCCCCTCCTGCCTGCCTGTGAGGAGGACTGGGAGAGGGGAGTATGACGCTATTGCGTCAACTAAAGAACCAACCTACACATTGCCCCGAACACCTCCGTTAGTAGGGAGGACTTTTGAGGCACCTCAAAAGTCAGCCGTTGCATCGACTCCTAAACAAACTAAACACTGCTCCACACACCTCGGTGAGGAGTAGGACTGTTTTGAGTCCACTCAAAACACGGCTCAACAGTCAGCCCTTGCATCATCGGCTCAAAAGTCACCTCGTTTTGAGTCGACTCAAAAGTTACCTCGTTTTAAGTCGATTCAAAAGTTACCTCGTTTTGAGTCGACTCAAAAGTCGCCTCGTTTTGAGTCGACTCAAAAGTGAGGAGTAGGACAGTTTTAAGTCCACTCAAAACACGGCTCAACAGTCAGCCCTTGCATCATTGACTCAAAATCAACCTACACACTGCTCCGCAAACCTTGCTGAGTAAGACCATAAGGAGGAGTTAGAGCCCATGAGTCTTGTTTACACACACCTAACAACTGCTTCTCGTACTTATAATATGTGCGTCTGGAAGGAGGGGTAAGAGCGTGATAAGAAATGCACCAAGCCACTGCTCTCCTTACATCTGTGATTCAAGCTAAAAACAGTGTTCCCATTATATCTGTGTAGGTCTGGAAGGAGGGGTAGGAGCCTCGCACGAATGCAATGGTGGGCTGAGTCTGTGTTGCCTGAGGCAGGAGCATGTGGGCGCATGGGCATGGGCACATGGGCATGGGCATGGGCACATGGGCATGGGCATGGGTATGGGCATGGGCACAGGCACATGGACACATAGGCATGGGCACGGGCATGGGCACATGGACATGAACAGCTCATCTCTCTCCTGCTGCAAGACGTTGTGGAATGAACGGACAGGAGCCTCTCGCGACAAAGATGCGCGCCATCATGAAGCATTATACCTGCCCCCGGTGTACCTGCCACAAGAATACCTTTCCCCTGTTGCATTTGGCGTCCTTCTGCGCGTATGCGTAGCCAGCCTCGGCGGCAAGCCCCGCCACGTCAGCGTCCTTTCCCCCAAGCATACCTTCCCCAGGCATACCTCCCCCAGGCATACCTCCCCCAGCTGTACCTTTCCCCTGTTACATTTGCCGTCCTTCTGCGTGTACGCGTACCCAGAATCGCTCGCAAGCCCCCCCCACGTGAGCGTGGCGTCCACCATGTAGTCCAGCGCTGTTGTCGGCCACCCGCCCGCCGCACAGCTGCTGCTCGTTGCGTTCCTGCAGTCCAGAATCTGATGGGTTGTGGGTGGGGAGAGGCAGGAGGGGTGGGTGACGGCAGGGGGAAGGGGTGCGGGTGGGTCAACCACCCGCCCGCCGCACAGCTGTTGCTCGTGCTATTCGTGCAGTCTTGCACCTGAGGGGTTGGGTTGGGGGTTGAGAGAAGGAGAGGAGAACGGTGGGTGACGCAAAAGGGAGTGGCGCAGCCGCTGACAGAACAGCTACTGTTCCTGCAGTAGCACCTACGGGGTTGGGGGGTGGGAAGGGTGGGTGACGGCAGGGGGAAGGGGTGCGGGTGGGTCGACCACCCGCCCGCCGCACAGCTGCTGCTGGTTCTGTTCCTGCAGTCCAGCACCTGTGGGGTTGGGTTATTGGTTGGGGGAGGTAAATCTGCCCGAACAGAATACCTGCTGGTGAGCCTGCAATCAAAACCTGCTGCTGTTGCTGCTGCTGCTAGGTGCAAAGCTACGTGTACGCGGTATAAGCTGCATGCGTATAAGCACGAATAATTATTCAGCCGAAGTAGCTGCTCCCGTTAAGCCCGTGCTTGGTTAGCAACACCGCACCTGCTGTAGTGATATGCGCTTGGGGGATCCATGGAGGGCGTCGAGGCAGCCACTAACGCGTACGCCATTTCCACCGCGCTCACTGCTGTGATGGCCCATGATGACTCTGGGGGTTGAAAACGGGAAGGGGAGGGGAGGGGAGGGGAGGGGGGGGGAGGGGAGGGGAGGGGAGGGGAGGGGGGGGAGGGGAGGGGAGATGAATAGAAGGGCAAAAAAAAGGTTTCCTGTGGAAAAATCAAGGTTGCGTCTGAATAAGGGTGAGCAATACCTAAGCCTGCCGAATGAAAAAAAGATAAGTCTCATTAGATGGTCGGAAAATAAGCCGCGCTTTGCTCTCCTCTTCCCCCGAGAATTCTACCTGCGTGTCGTCGGCCCTGCCCCTCTCCCTCCCCACTTCCCCTCAACCTCTTCCTCCCCCCTTCCCCTCCCCTCCCTCCTTCCCCCTCTCGAAAATTAAACAGCCAGCCCGCGGCGCCACACTCACTGCATTTGCCTTCGGTGCGCAACGCAAGAACCGGCTCGATGCGCGGGTTTGTTAGGCGTGGATCCTCGGCCCAGTTGCGACCGAGCGTGAAAAGTCCACTTAGGACATCCCCCGCGTAGAGGCTGCTGATGAGCCGAAAGAACCGGTTTGCATACTTCGGAGAACACGAGGCCAGAGCGGGATTCGCGCTGCATGGATAGCTCGGAACTGCTCCCTTTCGAGGGGCTGGTCAGATGATGTTATAGTCACAATAGGCTTGAATGTGCCTAAAACGAAATATAGAGTGCACAGACGGATTTCTGCACAGCGGCTTTAAACGTTCATAGCGTTCCGGTCACAGCTTTAAATGACCTGATTCAACTTGGATCTGGAGCGTCTTAACGTCGCCTACGATAGGCAATTTAGATCGCATGATTTCACCAAGTATTGACGACACAGCGTCGGTTTGAACGAACGGCACTATGGCAGCCACTATAGTCTTAGAACACAAGATAGGAAGAGTTAGGAAGACTTACGAGTTGGGAATGACTCCGAGCTCCTACAAACCCCAAGAGCCGAGGTACAGTGATATGGAACAGCGCCACACTGTCCCCAACCACGAAGGGTCTCGAAACTACCTTTTACTAGGGCCTACACCAAGTGAAATGTTACACTACACAAAGTAATGTAACTATCTTCAATATCTTGAGGTGTACTCTTTTCGCGGGCTTCGCGATCACTTGAATGTTGACACCAGGGCTCGGGTTCTTCATCACAAAAAACTCATCCTTGAGTTCTTGATGGGTCTGCTGCACACACCTGCGATACGCCGAACGTTCGACACACGACAAAATAGAAACGGCGCACGGGACACACGACGAAACAGAAACTGCGCGCGAGACACAAATGACCGTGTAACACGCGACTAGCGAAAACTCGCTATTGACTCGACACACACACACTCAACATCATGACCCATTATACACACACTATTATAAGCATGAAATGTATATCATCTCATGCCTCCATGCCACTCCATGCACACACATGCATGCACGCACACGGACAACAAGCCGAGTGCAAGCCGTAGGTTTGCACCAACAAACTCCCCCTCGGATTGTTAGCCTTAGGATATGTTGCTCTCTCAGTTTAGAGCCATCCCAGCCAGCTTGCAACACTTCCAATGCTGCTGCTCCACCAGCCTCTTAGTCATCATGTCAGCCGGCTGCCCCGTTGTCTTCACGTAGCGCAATTCAACTTCACCCGCGGCCACCATGTTCCTCGTCCAGTGCTACTTCACCCTCATGTGCTTGGTGAGGCCGTGCAACACAGGATTCTTGGCTAGTGCAATGGCACCCTGGCTGTCACAGTAAAGTGGGGTAGGTCCTTGCTGCTCCTCCCCCAATTCAGCCAACAAACGCCGCTGCCACACAATCTCCCGTATGGCACGGAAGAGTGTCATGTGCTCGGACTCCACCGAGCTCAATGCTTGGTCCACCTGCTTCTTGCTCTCCCAAGCAGTTGGGCCTCCACCAACACAGCAAATGAACCCTCCAACACTTGTCATGTCCTCTGGTTCAGATGCATATGAAGCATCCGAGTAGGCGGTGAGGAACAAACACCCGGGTTCTACACAATCCGCGCCCTTTTGGCGCCTTTGCGCCGCCGCCGAGTATTGCAGCCCAACGGTCGGTGTTTGGCCAAGATACTTGGCCACCCTCATTCCAGCAACTACCTGCTCCTCATTAGGGCATTGCACAACCCTAGCCAGCTACCAGCTAGCAAAGACCACGTCCGGCCGAGTGTTTACCGCCGCATACATGAGGCTGCCCAACAACGAGTGAAAACGGCACCTCTCCTCTTCACCAACGCTCTCCTCCTCTGGTCCCTTCACACACTTGAACCCAAAAGGAAAGGGAGTAGCCACATGACCTTCACTCTAGCCAAGGTTGGCAGCCAAAGCCTCCAGGTACTTCCGTTGGTGCACTCGCATGCTCCGCTTCTCCACGTCTCGTCCGATTTGGAGCCCAAGGTAGAAGTTCCATCACAAAAACCATATGCCAAGTTTGGACGAATTTTGATTGGGGTTGTCTTCGCGTAAAAAAATCCGGACCCAATTTCGACCGACGGTTGGAATCATTTGATAGGAGCTCCGACACACATCTCGCGACAAGGTTTGGCTCGGGTCAAGTTTCAAATTGGCACGCGAGCTTTTCCGGATGACATTCGGGCGCAATCCGTTTTGGTCCAATTTCGGTACCAAATTTTTTAAAACTGGATTTTGGTTTTGTTTTATTTTGGGTATTGAGGATTTCAGAATTACATTCAATATTTTGGGTTACAACAACCATTATTCAGCATTCTAACAACCAGCAGTTTTAGCACCAGGTCAAATAGCCTACGCAATGCTGGGCCCTGCAATCGCCCGGTGGGCAAGAATGACATCTCCAAGGTCGCCATCGTCGATGAGGAACTTGTTCGGGAAGACGAACGCACGCTGAGCCGGATCGTGTGGGATCCACCGCTCCACGACGGCAAATTGTATCATCTGTTTGACCTTGTCACACCACTCGAAGTAGTCCGGCCTGTTTTCTTCCGGCTGGGCCGGAATTCGCTTGCAACGCTCGATCTGCAATGTGGTGTAGGGTTGGGTGGATGGAGTATGGGGGGGGGGGTTAGTGTTGTGTGATGCAACCATATGCATTCACGTCTGTCTGCCTCCCATCATGTGTTTGTGCGTTGCATGCGTGGTGTGAGCGTGTGCAAGAAATTTGTGTCTTGTGTGGTTTGGATTTTCTGTGTGTGTGTATGTTATTTGGCTTGAGCAGATATCTGAAGTGATTCCTCTACTCAAGAGCTTTCCGACGAACCAAGAATCGTCGCGATCGGAGCACAACCAAGAAAGTTATGAACATTGGAGTTCGTATGCTTATATATTTTGGTTGCAGCTACATTGGGAAGTTGTGGCATTGACTCAATATGGGGTACAGACTTGAGGGGGTTGGGAAATTCGAACCCATCACTGTAGATGCTGCCAAGAGGTTGGGTGAAGCCAAACCAGGTTGGTAAGTGTGGCCAAGTTGTGGTGAGGTGGATGGCATGGGTTGGAAAGTGACAAAGGTCAAAGTTTGTTGCCTATGGGGAAGGGAATTGTGTGGCATGGGGTTTCGTTGGTTGGGGACTCTCTTTTAGGACCTTCCCTCTCGTCCTCCTCTTCCCCTCCTACCAGGTTTAGTGCTAGTCTAATGTTCTTTTGTGGGACTTGTGAATTAATTGTGATTGAGTTAAATTTCTGTGGCAGCATACCCCCTAGTGCGCCGAAAAGCATAACTCGAGATATGCTTCATATTTTGATACGATTCAAATTGGGAAATGTAGCCACGGTTTAGGGCTACAACATATTCGAATTTCGTGGGATTCTAATAGTGCACCTTTCGTCGACAACGTTTCTTGTGAAGTCGACGTTTCTGTCCAGAAATTGAGACCAACGATTTTGAGAAATTTGGGCACCTAATCTTCATAGACTCCGTCCTTAGTCTTTAACAGTTACGGGTATATGGGCCAACTGAAAGCGGTGAAGATGACACACCCTACGTAACTGCAAACGCCTAAGCGACCAGGGATTTAGATGAAGTATAGGCAAGGGGTTTAGGGGATGAGGCATGGGTGTACAGACACATATCTACATCCTTACCGAAAACAGGCCCCATGCCACCATGCGGCTCTTGAACTTGGTGAACACGACCCCGCCCCTCTTGAAGGAGAGCTTGAATGCATAAGAAAACATTGGGTTGCTGAAGGGCATTCCGATGGCCTTGTCAAAGTGCCAGTTGAGGGCCCACTGTTCTGTATTTTGGAGGGAGCGTACGGGTTGGAAAGGGGGTGCAGAGAAATCAAGTGGCTGATGAGAGTCAGGGTGAGGAACACCGCACGGTTATTTGTAGCTGCCACCTGACATATAGGCAGGGGGATATGGTGTGTTCGAGTCGCACATACCATCTCTGTACTCGGCCAGGAGATCCTCGTGGTTGAACCACTTCTTTGGGTGTAGCTCAATGGGCAGGGTATCCACGAGATGGGCGTAATCGGAGAGGCCCATGCCGGCGTACGTTGCTGGCCTGAGGGTGCTTTTGATTGTTGACCTGGTTGATGACATCTGGTGGTTGAAGACACCCATGGTTGACTTGTCGTTGTGCAACCACAGCAGCTTCAGTGACTCGAGCCCTTCGGCAGACAAGTGGACAGCAAACGCCTCGAACACTTCCTCCGCTGCAGGGTAGTACTTGATTTTCTCCGGGGGGTTCAAAAACAGGAGCTGAGAGCACACTAAGTAGGCTTTGTTCTGCGCAGGGGTGTGGGGTCTACAACATGACATGGGGAGAGAGAAACCATCAGTTATGAATGTGGCCGCGTGACCACAGGATGGACTGTGTGAACTTTCCACGTCACACCTTCCTGCATCCGCCACGTCCACCTGGCTTCACTAGGACTTTCCCTCCTGGCACCCAGTGGAGCCTCTGACGGCCAGTCTACGGTCTCCGCCAGGCACCGCGCGAGTGGCACGACACACTGAGGACTACACTTGCGGCTCTTGGGTTTGCTCCCTCTACTGCTGACCCGTCGCTGTTTCTACGCACCGACACCTCTCTGCCGCCGTTCTACATCCTCGTGTACGTCGACGACTTGGTCTTTGCCACAGCTCACACTGCTGGACTCGCCCACGTGAAGTCCGAGCTGCAGAAGAGACACACGTGCACAGACCTGGGTGAACTGCGCAGCTACCTTGGCTTGCAGATCACCCGGGACAGAGCACGCCGCACCATTACCCTGACTCAGTCAC